AAATCCTGTGTTCTTCTTCTGACAGAAATTGAATTACATTAGAAGTAAAATATCTATCAAAGTTCCCCTTCATTTCAAAATGAAGCAACATATCTCTAAATATTCTCTAAATATCTCTAAAGAAATAGAAGGGAAATCAGAAAATACTTCAAAATGGTGATGACAAAAACATGACTTTAGTATTTGTAAGACCCAGCTGAAACACAGCTTATACAGGTACTTAGAGCTTTCAATGTTTATAAGATAAAAGGATAATTAAATTAATAGACGTAAGTACACAAATCAATGAAACAAAGAAGTGACAATAGAAAAAGGTGGCAACTCACATATTGATTCTTTAAAATTATTAATAAAATGAATAAACCCCCTACTGAGACTGACCAAGAACAAAGAAAGAGAACAGATTACTGATACCAGGTTTAAATGGTTGGTATCACTACAAAGTTGTTATCTTTTCAGATCCTAAAGAGAGTATGAAGAAAATATCCTATATATATTATACAGTAATTGAACACCTCGGATTTAAAAAGACAAATTCCTTAAAAAGCAAGGTTTTTCCAAGAGTTACTTAAAAAGAAAGAATATTTGAATAGCTCTCTATATGATTTACATTTTCAATTAATTATTAAAAACATGCACAACACAAAAATCCACTCTGGAATGGTTTTACTGGCAAATTATAACAAGCATTTAAGGAAGAAATAATGCCAACCTTATACAAAATAGGTAAAAAAAAAAAAAACACAAAAAAACAGAGGAGTCAATACTACGAAGCTTGTTTCATGAAGTGAACATAACCTTGAAATTAAAATGTGACAAAATAATGTCTTCCCAGAGATGCCCACTGCTACTTCCTGGAGACTGCAGTTAGGTTACATGGCAAGGGGAAATTAAAATAGCGGATGGGTTTGTTTGCTAATTAGGTAAACGGAGATCATTTTGGATTATCTGAGTAAGCCCCCCAAAATCACACAGGTCCTTATAAAGTGGAACAGGCAGAAGGGAGAGACACGAGAGATGGCACCGTGAGAAGGACTTCGCCCAATATTGACAGCCTAATAGCATGTAGATCATGGAAGAGTCAAATGAAAAACCTCTAGAAAAGGAATTCATTGATAAATGTATGAAACCCATGATTTTCATGATTTGAGAGTCAATTTCAGAGTTTATAGTGACATTGGATTTTTAAGTCTGAAAATTTGTCTTTACTGTAAAAGATAATACAATCTATGTCATCCAGTTTCAAATAAATGTGAAATTGGGCAGATTTTAAGAATCTGATCCCTTGCCTGAATTGAAACACTATTAAAATTATATATATCTGCACACAATACGTTCAGCCAAAGAAAGTTACATGTAAATCTGTTGCTGTGAATTCTAGAGAATATCATTTAAAGTGATGCCATAAAATGGCTTACAGAATTTAAGAACATTCACAAGGTTAAAAGACTACAAAAAGCTTGGTGAAATAAAGGAGGGCATTGATACATTCAGTATTCACACCCTATGGCAGCGTCATTTTTGCTGTGGTTCCAGTAGGAACTATGGGATCAAGTATTTTATTTCAGTCATATTCCAGCAGGTTGTTAGAAAGGTGAGTTAACAGTTGTCTAATAGGACCACCCTGGATCTATTAAGCCAGCATCTGCATTTCACAAGATTGGAAATTTGTATATGCATTATGTTGTGAGAAAATGCTGTCTAGAAAATGAGCATAGTATGAGTGAAATTAGTCAAAGATGTAGGATTAGAGAAAAAAAATAAGTAAGCATGGAACATCCTACAATAGATTAGAAATTATCCACTATATAGTACCATGAAAATTAAGAAAATGTGAAATAGAAATAAATGATAAAAAACCTATGCATGTGTTATCACACAAATCAAATAACATAAAAGCTAAGCATATCACAGAGGAACATTTCATAATTTATCTAAAGCAAGTGTGATTGATCTGCCAGTAGAATACTGAGCTTTTTAAAAATGTTTTAGTTTATATAATTTTCGATTTTCTCTAACCAGATACATTAATTCCTAATGAAAAATAATTTGAGAATAAAGAAACCGAAGAAATGAAGAAACCAAAGGACAAAATTGGCTGGATATGAATAAACATAGAATCAATAAAATAGGGCAGAAGGGTAAATTCTGAGTTGTCCTAAATTCCATCTCTTACTGAAAATAGGACAATGAAATAAGAATTCTGACTTGCCCTAAATTTCATCTCTTTCTGCTAAGTCAGCTTTATTAGGACAGAGGGTAGCAATTTTTGACATGTATTTCTGATTGGCACTTATAACACAGTTACTGCCCAACAATGTATAACTGAAATTAGCTCTTAGAGAGTCATTTCTTTCTCTCAGACTATAAATATGTAGAGGGTTACCTGCGACTGTAGCAGGGAAAAGTGGGTAGAGGGAAAGGGATCCACAGAGCCATTCTAAAATATGACCACAGGTATTTGTGATCCAGCTTTACCTTGAGTAACAGAATGAGACAAAGAAATAATTCTATGCCCTACTTTTTTTTTGTCTTTTTTACAAAAGGACCTGCTCCCTAAACTTTGAACAAAATCAGTCCAGGCCTCCATTTTTATTTTTACTAATGAATTAAACTATAATTTAAATAAAACAGAAATATGTGTGCCTATTTTCAACAGATTTGTTCAACAGCATTCGTTGATTAAAATAATTGTTAGCAAATATGATCAACTTATAGAACCATGGAAAGCTTATTTAAATATTTTCTAGTCTCAATATCTTAATGCTGCATAATTTGAAAAGGACATTCACATAAGATCCCTTTGATGTGAACAACTTTGAAATGGATAGATGGAAAACTTCAGAACACTATTCAGAATACAATTGTTTTAATTGTATTAAAAACAAACAGGTTCATTATTGTAAAGACATATACCACTACTCTGACCACTTTCTGTATGCTAAACCTTAGTTCATGAGGTTCACTAAGAAAAAAAAATAACAAGAACAAAACAAAACCCACATTACCCACGTTTTTATCATGTGTCTCTTACTGTGCTTCTAAGACTATCGCACATGTAATCTCATGCAAACTTTACCATGACTTTTTGAGGTAAATGCTCATTTTGCAAAAACTGGAATGCAAACTTTGAAAAATAAATGTAGTCAATAAATGGAAAAGTTTGTCATAGTCCTTAAATCTATCCCACATAGAAAAAAATGGTTTAAAACTCCTAAATCTAAAATAACTGTGGCTAAACGACTAATTTAGAAATGTATTCTTGATTTTTATTCTCTGTTTGAAAACTTGGCCACTTAAATGTGACAGTTTCTATATTTGGAAAGTAGATTTGGTGTAAGAAACAAGCTAAAAAATGAATTTATAAGTATTTGCCCATTGGGGCAACTAATTCTATTTTCTCAAGAAATATCAGATAAAATATCTTCAATATACTCAGTCAAATGGTCACTAGGAAATGCAGTATTAACATGCCTTGAAAACCCACCTTGCATGTACAATATAAAGAAACCATGTATTTTTCCATTTTTTCATAATTGATATACATTGATTTCTAGAATTAGAAATGTTGTTATAAGATACTTTATTTCCTAGTGAAGTTTATTAAGTGCATTAAGAAAGCACAAGCTAAACTTTGCATCCTAAGAAGAAATATGCTCTATTATCTGCAAAGTTCCTGAGTTGATTAATAGGTATCTCCCCTCCCAGACTGTAACATCACAAATGAGAGGGATGGTTCATCATCATCATATTTCCACATTATGTAGCACAATGCTTTGACATTATTAGGCCCTTAGTGAACTTGAATGAACAGTTTGGTGTTTATGTTGAAGTTACTCTTTGAAGTATGTAAGTGCTAAAGGTTGAAAAGTTCCTCCTAATATGGAACTGTCATCTCCTTGTGTTTTCTGGTTTATTTATAAACTGGGTTCATTTCTGAACATTAAAACCAGCTGTAAGTTTGTATTAATCAGGTTCAGACAACAAAAATGCCAGCAAGATACATCAGTTAGTATTGGTGAGGAGTTATTATAAAAAGGTGACAAAATTAATAGAGGTGGTGACAGAGACTGATTACTATTGAATGAAGGGGGAGGGAAATTACTTCAAAGAAGAACTTCTATTTCCTTATAACAAATTTTAAATCTATAAACTTCAAATGTATCAATCAATTTTCTGAATTTTTTTAGCCATAATTACACTCCAGGGGTAGATAATGGTTTAAAATGGAGTTACTGTCTTGTATATGCAGAAGGTGAGAACTTTGGTCCCAGATGCCTAAAATATTTGAATATAAAATTACCTAAATGTTTCCTTTAATTATTTTCCTCAAAATCGGTCTTTTCCTTATAGATATAATAACTCAGTGGTGTTTGGATCATTATAAATAAACACAAGATCTTTTCCCCTAAAACACCCCATTTGGTTTCATTTGATTTGATTTCAAGGGCTCTCTTTCATGGGTTTACACAGACTTTTGTATCACAGAATTGTGTTTTGTCCTGCTCCACATAGTTCTGGCCTGTCTTCACTTAATGACTCTCATAAAAATCTGTGAGTCAGAGCAAATGCTCTACATTCCTCCACTGCCCCCGTCCTTAGAACTCTTGTGGGGGGCTCACTGATTACTGTGGGAACCTTTGCTAAGGGTCTGTGGCTTGGATTTGGAGCAAAATCTTCTGCCAAGAGTTTTGTTTCTCTTCGTTTTCACATTTAAAATGGTATTTCAAAATGCTTCAGACATGATCTTTCTTTTGAAATAGAGTTCTCTCAAGTTTGTGTTTAATATTTCACTATGTGGCTTTCAGAAGCTTTCAGACCCTGTGTTTTTAAACATCCTCTGTTCATCTTTGCAGGTATTGGCCTTAAAATATTGAAAGGAAGGTAGGTCTGCTTCTTTTGTAATGGAAATGTACACCCAGGCTTATTCATTAAGGACAATACATTAAGTACACACAGAACATAAATGCCTCTGACCGAGCTCCTGTTCAGATGTCAGCGAGGAATCTGGTGCTCATTTACATTGCGATTCACTGGCCACCGGGACCTGTCACACAGAGATGACAGGACACTGGAGCCAGGAGCAACTGTAAACAGGTAGAAATTTGCACATTAATACTCAGATAAGCAGGGTCAGTGCATCTTCTTTACCTTCTGCAATTAACAATTTTGTTTTTTTTGTGTGTGTGTGTGCTCTCCATGTTGTTGTGTTGTTGGGAAAACGATATTTTAGTTTTTGAATTGAATGTACTCTAGTTACTTCTGATTTTAAAATGCATTTTTCAAGTAACTCACGTTCTCATGGGTCAATGCTGAAGTTTTTCAGTTTTCTCCTTTCTTAAGCTCCTTCTGAAAATAATGTCAGAGTGCGTAGAGACTGGAAAGCTTCAGTGGTATTTAGAACGGCATCTGGAGGCAATTTATAACTTAAACTGGAAGACAACTAGACAAACTGACTTTGTCTGAGCAATCTCTGTGAATGCCTGTTGTCCTGGGGTAATTAATAGTGACTCTTTAACTCCCAAAATGTATTTGTTTAGACAATAGGGATGAAGATACTAGAAGCCACGTAAAGACTAGAACCTTTGTCAGAATGCTACTTTGTATCAGACCTTACATTCTGACATTTAAAAAATTTCATTTAATTTATTCATTAAATTGGCTAATGACTGAGCACTTTTCATGTGCGAGCCACTGTTCTAGGCTCTAGGAGATTCGGTAGTGAGCAAACAGACCAATCTTTGCTGCCATAAAATCTACAGATCCGTGTCACTGGTACATGGTCCATGTCTTGGGAAACACTAAATGATTTAATTTATCTTGGTAATAATAAGAAAAGTTTCCAAAAAAATAGACCTACCCAAAGTCAAGTGATAGGTTAGTGATAAATCCATAATCAGAACTCCAGTTGCCTGACAAATATCTTACCTAAAAGAGCCTTTAGCAAACTACAGTCTATGGCCAAATCTGCACACTGCTTGTTTTTGTAAATAAAGTTTTGTCAGAACATGGCTGAGCCTGCTTATTTCTGTGCTGTCTGTAGCTGCCTCTGCCCTACGACAGCAGAGTTGAGTAGCTGCAACGTATGCCATATGGCATGAAAAGCCCAAAACATTTACAACCCAGTCCATTACTGAGACTGTGTATCAACCTCTGTTCTATAACACAGGTATCTTTACTCCTGGTAATCTTATTCAAGAAGGTAAAGCCTGACAATGTAGGCTTGTAGGCATAGCTATTTGCTGCCTATGTTGCCTTGAACAAGTCAGGTAACCTCTCTGAGTTTCAATCCCCTTCTCTGTAAAATGGAGAAAATAATTAGTGCACTATTAGTAGTGAAGATTAAATTAGCTAATGTGTGTAACAAAGAGCTGGTAAAAGAAGAGAAGGTAGCTACTAGTGCTTCTAGCTTGCTAGCTACTCTGTGAACTCTGTCTGTGGAGGGTGAAGGTATAGGGTGAGATTTTGTTTCTCCTATTTCTGTGCCTTCACAACCAATGGCTTGCACATGATTTTCTAATGTGAGGGTTATATACAGCACTCAGGAGTAAGGAATGAGTCTAGGCTTTAGTGGCCTCTCAGCCCAGCAAGACATTTTTTCTTATAAATCTGTGAATCACTGCTATGAGACTTCCAAGTTGTGGGACTGACTTAATGAGAAAAGAGGAATGAGGAGCAATTACATTTCCATTAAGTGGACGACATTACCCTTGATAAGGCTGCTGGAACTGAAGTACCCCTCTCTCTCCCTCAGGTGTAGTCTCAGAAGCACAGAACTTACCGATTCATTAAATTTGTGTTTATTTTTGCTTCTGTAATCAGCTGTCTCTTAGGATTATTCCATTGTCACAAAGGACTAAATTCCAATGTATGGTGGAATTGTTAACTTGGCACATAGGCTATGAGAAAATTTCAAGGGAGGTTCACTCTTAGCACCTATCAAATATGAGCAGATTCTAAAAAGCATTTGGAAAATCTCAGTGGGACCCACAGGCCATTTACAATGCCAGAATCGAAAAAAGCAAGGCCACAGACTGCTACAATTTGGTGAAATTCTATCTTAATTTGCCTAATAATCAAATTAGCTAATACCTGTCTGACGTTTCCTATGTACCAATGTCTATGCTAAAGATTTGGTTATTTATCTTATTTAATACTCAGCCATCTTAAGATACAGTATTACCTTTATATTACAGATCATGAAACAGAATCATCAAATCTCCCTAGTTTGTAGTGGATTGCACAGTTCCTGGGGTGGACCTGAGATACACACGAGGTCTTCCTGTTTACAGGGAACAGTTTTTGTCAATACATGCACTCTTGTTTTGGGTTCCTCTGGGAAGCCTTCTCTGACAATTCTAAGATTTTTATTTACTCCTACTTCCATCCAAAACTCTACTGACACTATGCTCAATCATTATCTCACCCACCAGATTTACTCAGAATCATGACAAATAAGAAAAAAATACATATAACAACAAAAAAACTATGTTAAGGTCATCTTTGGTTTATTCTCTTCCTTCTTACCCTTAATCATCTTCTGTGCTGATCAAATATTTTTCCAAAGAAATAATTTACATAAAATCCCTTGTGTTTGCTCAGGCTGTTACTAGATTATGAATAACAGCCAATAGTTGCTCTACACATTTTATTGCACATATTTACATACATATTTTATTGTGTATTGTACATGTTTTAGGAACATGGCAAAAAAGTTTTACTTGAAACATCTCACTTAACCCTCACAACAATACTGTGTTAGATATTATCCTTTCCATTTCCTTGCAAAGATACAGATGCAGAGAGATTAAGTAATTTGATCAAATTTATACCTTCCCGAGCAGTGGAGTTAGTATTCATACCATAGTCCATGTAATTCCAAAATCTGTATTCATTTAAATACTTCTCCATTGTTCACTTTGAGGGCCTATTTTTTATCATTTATCTAAGGATACTCTATCTTACTCTATTCTGAAAAACACTGCTAATCACCTCTAAGAGAATGTCTCATCTCTGTGTGCCCTTCCAATTTTCTGCTTGCTTTCATCCTAAGACTGTGGCATGTTTTGCTAGCCCTTTTCTTCTTCATCTCTATGTATCATTTTGTGCAAGTTCAGTAAACTGGGGCCCTTATACTTAGCCCCCTTATATTTAGTATTGTGGAAACACTAACTTCCACAGTAGGGACCTATACTTAAAAAGTCTTCTTTAACAGACTCAAATAGATACTTTCTGTGAAATACCATTTACTGTCCATCTTAGCAGCTATTATGCAAGAATTTTTCATTTTATCTTCCCCTGAGTCAGTTATTCCCTAAGCAAGTTCCCCATGGATTAGAGCAGCTTGAAAGTCACTCAGACTTAGCCATCCACCACTGCATGCCAAGCAATGTTTTCAAGTGAAGAAGAGAAAGAACAGAAGCAACTCAGGGGTGACAGAGCTGGTATAAAATCCTTGCTATGGACTGAGGGATTGGAATCCAAAGGATCTACATTTGGGTCCTGACCCTCTTATTTAGGGACCATATATCTTGGAGAATTATTCACAAGTACTGAGCCTTAATTCTGCAATCTAAGAACAAATCACCTGCATGCTTCATTGAGTTGTTTAATGAGTCTGTGCTTGTTGAATGCCTACTATGTGCCACATTTCTTGTGAAGGTTGATTGGGACAAGTGATATAAGGCAAGGCATGTGACTGAGGTTTAATGCATGAACCACCTCACCCAATACAAAGGCTAAATGCCATCCTCTAAGTCTGTGAGAGACTGGGGAATTCCATTCAACCTCTATTAATAGTTCCACTTATTTTAAAGGAATCTCTGTGTGTAAGAATTCTCATGGCCTCTTTTAGAGCTGAGGTAGGTTGAGAAGCCAAGGAGAAAGTTCTCAGAGAATGTAATTATGATACCTGGTCTGATAAAAGCCTTTTTTGTATATTAATGTAAAAGTTAAATGCCATAAGACATAATAGATTCATCAAATCTGGTTAAACATGTAACAAATTAACCTTAATTATGGATTAGAATGCAAACAACCAGAAACTGCTGGAAACATATAAAATACATGGTCACAAAATGAGGAGTCCAATCAATTGGGAGTTTGTGAAATGTTCCATGAGAGGAACAGACTGCTAATAGAGATGTGGAAAATCTATTTTAAACTCTCATTGTGATGTTCATGCAAAATGATGCCCTGATATAGACTTTTCCTTAGGGAGAACTGGTCTCTGCTCACATATCCCTCTAAGGCAAATTTTGGGGAGGCTGGTTTCCTAGCCTTACACCTGGCTGCTGTGATCAATGTATGTCCAGGTAAGCTGCTTTCCAACTGGTACAGAAAACAGAATTTTGAATGGTCTTGATTTCAAGTACTTCTTGACTTCCTGCTTACTTCATAGAATTCTAAAAGTCAGAGCAAAATGGGCTCATAGTCACCATTGCATTCAAAGATTTATTTGAGAATAAAGAAACAGAGGTTCAAATATGTCAAGTGTTACACAGCTTGCCCAGGAGGAGAGTCTAGGAAAGTTGTGAATATGTAATAGAAAGAGTAGCTACTATTTCTTGAACACCTATTATGTTGCAAGCACACAGTTCAGTGCTGTAAACACATTGTCTCATTTGATTAGTACAGAGACAGTATGAGGAGACAGTGCTGTTTTTATTTAAGTAAGGAGGGAATGACAGCTTGGAGAATTGAAGTGACTTTCCCAAATAACAAATAATATATCTGTAGTCTAAACATAGATGTGTGATCCCCAAGCCTACTTTCTTTCAATTCTATAGACTGTCTCCTACATTTATTTTGGTAAAAAAATACATAGTTATGTATATGTGTGCGTGTATATATATATACACATACACATATCATGAGTGCAATAGCTTTTAGCAAGTTCTGTATGAAAAACTACAAATATTGACATTTTTTTCTCCTCATTAACTAGTTATTTTGATACAAGGCATGCAGTCTAGATATAACACCTTTATAACTCATAAGAAGGTAAACATCTTTCAGGCATTTTGTTTTGTTCTGTTTTTTTTTTCATTAAGAAGAAACAACTTGAGTGTATTAATAAAATTTAACCCTCACTTCAGCAACCTGATTCATGATTTCTGGAAATACAGTTTACTATACCTCAGCAAGTTACTGGAAGTTTTCATTCTGTTACACAGGATACTGGGGGGGGGGTGGGGGGAAGTTGTGCTGTTCCATATTTATTCAGCCGTGATTAGTATAGTGTTGAATAATTTTTAATTTCCATTTCTTGAATATATTTATTAATTTACCTCCTGCCAATATATGGCTCTGGTTGCCACTATTTAGAATTTATTCCTGTTCTCCCTAAGTATCATTTGCATAATGGCATGACGAGGTCCATTCACTATCAGTTGGTTGTGGGGTGTTGGACAGAGTGACTGGGCTGTAATTAGTGGCATCTGGCCTCTGGTTTCATTAGCATATAAATGGAACTGTTAAGAGGCCATGACAGCCTGGTGGTTTCACAACAGTCACTATAATGCATATCTGCTTTTATAAGCTTATCAGTGGGATCGCTTTTTATAAAAGAATAAAATATTTTTTGTCTGAATGAATCTGCCTATCTTTGCATGTTGGAATCTGAAGGATTTTTTTTTCTTATCAAAGAAAAAAACAGAACTATGATATGCCAATTTCAATGCTTCATTTCCATTTTATAGACCACTAAAAATGTAATCCAAGCTCTTGTTTCTGCCTTCTCTGACTCATTTCCACCAAGAAATCCTTACTTCTCTCCTTGTCTGCTTTATTTTCCCCAACTAAACTTCCCAGGTTCATCTTTATAAAACGTGGCACATTTTTTTTTCTCATGGCAATACCTTGCTCACGGAATAACATGGCTCTACATTCCCTGTTTCACTGCACCCTGACTCTTCTGTATGGTCTCCATGGTTCTATTATCATTTGGGATTATTGATGATGTTGGATGGAGTGTAAGTACAGCTAACTCTTGTTGGAAGCTTGGTATGCACACGAAGGATCATTTTATCTTTATTTGGTCTTCTCAGCAATTCAATAAATCAGAAGTACTAAAATCTTAATTTTCAGATTAAAAATAAAAAATAAAAACTAGAGAAAGGAAAAAAAATGAGGTTCAGAAAGGTCTTGTAACTTTTCTAAAGCTATTCAGTAAGTGTTTACAGCCAGGATTTGAATTTGAGCCTCTCTCCTGTAGAGCCCCATTTTCTTACCCACTTTTCTCTACCACTCCCTGAAATAGATGAAAATTTCATCTAGAATGCGATTCTGTGCTCTGAGGATTCCCTAAACAACAGAATTTTATCCTTACAGAAACATTCTGAAACTCATGATTTGTAAAAACTGTCACAGTGGCCATTTTGGATGTTTTACTTATTTGTAACAAGATGTTTGAATTTTGCATGTCAATGTGATTTTACCCCTTGTTATCTCATGGACTGAGATCACTATTTCCCAAAGAGTAAAGTGTAGAATCACTGATATATGTAATTCATCATGTGTAATGGCGATGGTATTTCTTGGTCTGTTAAGTTTGGAAAAAACTTGAGTTATACTCTATTTGCAACTTTTCCCTAGAGAATGTCTAAAAGCTCTAGACTTCCTTAATGTGACTATCCCTAATTTCAGGAGAATCTGAAAATTGAGTATCTTTCATTCTTCACTTGGTATGAACTTCTATTTGCCAGCAAGGAAAAAGCTGCAGAGGATGGAGGGTAAGTAATGTTGGGCTAGCAATACCTTGTTTATAGTACATCTATATGACCCTGGGCAATAAGTTACAATTGAGTTCTATTTTGTTCTAAGGCCTTCAGGGTTGCTTATTGAATCATAATTTTTTTCTTGTACTTTGACTCATGGAAATCACTGAAATGAAGGAGAGTGAACCATGTCTCATAATGTCACTGTAAAGATTAGAGAAGAGAATGCATGCAAAGTACACAGCCTAATACCCAGCATAGAGCAAATACTGAATAAGGGTTTGTTTAATTTAAATATGAATCAATTTCTACAACTTTACATTATCTAATACAACTAATTTTGAAATATAAAAATTATGATTGACAAGGATAAATAAAACCCACTACTATCATTCTTAATAATCATCAGTAATCAGCAGTGAATTAATAATAGTAGCTTCTCTCTGCTGCTATCAATTACACACATTATTAATGGATTGACAAAAAGTGCCAAGGCATAGGTTGTTAACAGGAATTGACAGCTCGGTTATTGCTTGTGTCAGACATTAATTTCGGAGAGCACAACTGTGCCACATTTAAATGTACATTGCGATGGTTTATGGTGTGGGATAGAAGACCCCTTCTAGAAAGCAGCTGGAGATGTAGGTTGAGGAAAAGATATAAGCATCTTCTGAAAGAAGAGGTGTAGAGGGGAGACTGTGTCCACACAGTGGTTACTGACACGTCTCAACAACTTTTATAAAGTAAAGATTCTTGGTCATTCATCTGAACCTTGGTAGATTTGTTAAGTAAAATCTAGAACAATCTGAATAAAGAAACTTACTTTAAAACAAATAAATTTTAGAAACCATAAAACTAAATATTTCTTCATTTAATTCTCAGAGTAATCTTACTGGGAAGTCAAAGATCAGGCAGTTTAAATTACTCAGGTTAAATGCAATTTTTTGGTAAAGAGCTAAGAGATGAACATCCCTTTCAGAAGTGCAGGCACTACGTTGTCGTATCTCTCCAGAGCCTGGGAGGAATAGGTGGTGGTGATAAGGAATGACAGAAGGGATGGTAACAGAACCTGTGAAATAGGGCAGAGGAAATAGCTTAAACACCACCTTCCAAGCACCCCCTTCTTTGGTGCTAAATGCAAGGTTGGCTTCATCACATGTATTGGGATGCCAACTCCATTTGCCTTCCCAGGGAGGTCAGGGATACCAGCTCCATTTCCACATTATATTTCAGTCTGCTATGCTGGCCTGCTAATGTGTTGTGTTTACAACCAGTACTGATGGAGGGCTGGCCTATGGTGATTCTGTTCTTACCAGCTGGAGCTGGATTCTTGTTCTGCTCTCAGTCTCTACCACTATGAGATACGATCTTCTTGGATCTGGACATTGCCCAGACTTCCACAATGGGCTGAGTTCACAGATACGACAAGGTGACAGCATAGCTTTTCTCTGTGGAGATTTGGGGAAGCCTCCAACATTATAAATACTCATACTCTTCATAACTATCTTGAAGGAAATATGAGTGAGAAAATAATTCAAAGAAGCAATGGTAATGAAATACTTATCTTACCTTTAAAAGATGAAAAACGTGCCTCCAAATACTTATATATATAAGCAGGCAAGGCCGTGAGAATACTTTGCCACATCTCATTTTCATACTTCAATACGCAAGATTCTTGAGATTCTAAAGTTTCATCCCAAATACTTATCTCTGACCTATTTACACTACCTCTTTGAATATGATTTTTGGATCTTTGCAACTTTTTGTCATAATGTGTCTGCTTTTCCTACAAAATCTCTATGTGGAACATCAGTTTCCAGTTGGTTGTTTCTCAGCATTTTTAAGTGTAAAATTCCTGTGCATGGCACGGACAGATTGCACTGTTTCAGGCACCGTGCTATATATGCATTACCTCTTTGATCCTTATACTCGTCTGTATTAGCCTGCCTGGGCTACTGTAATAAAATGCCACAAACTGGATGATTTAAACAGCAGAAATTTCCTTTCTCACAGTTTTGAGGCCTCCAAGACTGCAGCATCAGCCCATCTGCTGTCTCCTGAAGCCTCTCTTCTTGGCTCACAGATGGCTACCTTTTTTGCTGTGTCCTGGAATGGTCTTTTCTCTATGCACATGTATCTCTGGTGTCCCCTCTTCCTATTAGGACACTGTCTTATCGGATTAGTGCCCTATCCTTACAAGTCCATTCAACCTTCATTACCTCATCAGAGGCCCTGTTTTCAAGTACAGTCACATTGGAGGTTAGAACTTCAACATGTGAAGTCTAGGGGCACAGGATTCAGTCCATGGCATCTTCACCCAAGAAGTCAGATACCGTGTATTCCCTCCTTCCACTGGATAAAATGTTTTCCATCTTAACAGTGAGGAAACTGAGGTTTGGACAAACTGTCTTGACAAATTGGAAGCTAGATTCTTATCTGTACTATGTCTGGCTGGAAAATGGACCACAAATGCTGTGTGAGGATCTGTGTATCAGGGTCAACTAGAAAAGTCCACCGTTTTAGGTCATCATAACGAGGGATTAGGGGTGAGTTGAATCTGCAGAAGCCAGCCACAGCACCAAAGTGGCTTGGAGTGAGGGTGCCGAGCACCAAGGGCTGAAATCCCACTTCCATGGAGCTGAAGTTACGGGGTTTACAGCAGAACCGAAGGAGCGCCGCACACCAGGCGAAGAATGACAGGCATGCACCCGCCTGGGCGTGGGTGCGGGTGCACATGCACGCTGTGAGGAAAGTTCTCTTATTGTTCTCATTTGCCCAGGGAGCTTCTGGATGTTCAGAGAGTCTTAATAATTTGCCAAAGAACACAGTGGAAGAACCAGGACTGACCCACTGGCTGAGTATCTTCAGCTCACAAAACGACTCACTAAACAAAGTCACAGCTTGAGTTTGCAGCTTTCACATTTTGTCTCAAATTCTCTCAATTTTGGGAACCTAGCCAGAGTTCCTGATAAAGAAAACTGTCACGTGATCCTCTCTGACCCTGAACATCTTCAAAAGAAATAGACAATAGAGCAAAAGTAAGTTCGCTCTTCAATGTCTCCTGTTTGCATGAACAATTCCACAAGATTAGGTTATCCATTCATCATTCTAGGTGATTTATATGCTCATGACAATTGTAGTCCATGACATTAGCCCATGAGAGACACAACAGTGACCTTATATACCTTAATATTTTAAAATCTTTTATTGGTCCAATGCTATCAACCTCTCTGATTTATGTATTCTAAAAATTTTAAGACCAAGTCCTTTTCTCTCTTTATTTTTTGTTACCTATCCTATTGGATGAAAAATGCATTAGGATGGAAATGAAAATGATGATAGCCAAAGGAACACGTATTTATTAAGTGCCAGGAATTGAGGTAGCCACTGTAATGACAGTTCTTGACTTTACATACTGATCTATCTATATATTGATATATAATTTTACTTTGTTCATACATATTTCTCTCTGGAAAATGTCCACATGGAACCAAAGTATATCACAATGATCTCTTAAAACTATAACATCTTATTCTGTACTTCTGTGAAATTTTTCTATCACTTTGAAATGTTTAGAGCCTCTACTGTCATTGTTTCAATAACAGGAAATGTTTCCATTTCACAAGAGTGTAAACTCATAACTATCATTTTTAACTTAACACGTGAAATCACTTTTACCCTTTTGCCTTCAATTTAAAGGATAATACTTGTGTCAGTAAAAATCAGAAAAAAATTGATAATATAGGCATCTATAATTTAAAGTAAGATTTACAAAATGTTTACAAATAAAAGTGTAATGCCTTAATATAGTAGCTCACTAGATATTAGCCCCAAGGTTTAAACACTTTATATGATTTAACTAATTTAATTCTAACACAAATTCAGTAAGTTAAGACAATAGCATTCTCATTTTACAGATGAGGAAACTGAAAAACAGAGAAATTAAGGAATTTATCCCAGCGGCCTTGCTGGAAGTTGGAATCTATCCCAGATCCAAACACTAGTGCCCAAGTTGTTTAGTGCTGAACTATACTAAGTCCCAATAATGCAGAAGGTACTGGTCCTGAAGATACAAGATAAGGATCATTATACTAACCTCATTTATTTATTTATTTTAACTCTTGCAGGGGACAATCTGCACTGATATTCCTGATTTACGGCCTCCTTGTTTCCTTGTAATTTTGCAGCTCCTGCTACGATTGACAGTCTTTGGCCGTCAATTAAATATGGACCAGCCTTTTCTGGCTAACAGAACGCAGAGGATACAGTGAGATGCCTGAGGACTTGAGTAATTTACTCTCTCTCCTGGAATGCTGCCACTGCCACGATATTAATCCAAAGGCTGTTCTAATGGAAGATCGGAGATGACATGGAGAAGGTCCCTCATGGAGAAGCAAGGGCTATTTTAGATCAGACATGCTCCCAAACAGGTGAGAAAATGCAGATCACATTAACAACCCACAGATGACCATAAACATGAGTGTGCCTTGCTGAGAAATGAACCACTCTGCTGACCCTTGTGCTTCGGAGAAATTTTAATAAATGACTATTGTTTAAGCCACTGAGTTTTGGTGCAGTTTATTATGCTTTAATAGCTAACTAATGAAGAAACTGATGACAGAAATGAGTTGATGCTATTATAAAAACCCGCCATGTGTGATGTCAGCTTAGTTAGGTAATCAGTGGAACCTCTAAAAAAAAGTGAACAAACAATTGGAAAAGGTTAAGAGTGAGATTTTTTTTTATTACAGGCTAATAAATATTGTGACCACTTTTATGTAATAACAAAACCACTTTAAAAACTGTAGCGAGCTGTTAATGAGAAAATGGAAAAATAATTCTATGGACCTGGATAGGCAGTTCCCCAGGCAGAATGCTGAAAATGTCAGCAGAGTGTTATCAGTTGTATATGATAAGGTGTGCAAAGAAAGGAATGAGCTAACAAAAGAACTGGCCAGTTTCCAAGTAGCATTTGAAAGAAATATAGAGGTACTAGGATTTACTGGGTTAGATATAAAATATAAGCTTGTTCACACTTTTCCCAACCAGCAAAAGACTGTCAAAGAAAAATGCAGGTTTGGGGTAAAAGTAAAATTAAGCATCTATCTGTAAGAAACTTTGACCAATGAACAAATTAATTTGGTAAATACTTTGTGAATTGTTTTGTTACTATAAAAGATGACACATAATATTTATTTTCCTGTAATGAAAATTTCCTAGACCCCCTTAACTAGGAAAAAAGGTCATCTGGGAGTCTTGAGTACCTGGTTTCACAGCAATCACAGCAATCTCATATGCTTAAACATCTGTGGCAAGTTTCAAAAATGTCAGATTGTGGTTCTGGCAAATTGAGTTGAATGAGGTTAATAGAAGGTTCACAAAATTTTATGAGAGTTATATTGGGGAAAAAAAAAAGACTGGTTTAGATTAAAAGGGGCTAAGATGATTCAAACATACAAGAGTCCTGTGGAATTCAAAATTTGTGGGAAAAAAGAAAGCTGTTCAATTATCACTAAAGAACACTTCTTCAGAAGGATCAAAAGAGGGTAATAAAAAAGGAAATATATCTCAGAAGATAGAGCAAAGGACCAAAAGACTAGAGTCAGCCACGGTGAACAATGCACTGGAGATAGAGTCCTTGGGGGAAGAGGCGAGGGGAAAATTCCCCACTCTTGGTGTGTGTTATTTGTGCTGCAGGGCTTGATGATGGGCAGTACTCGACGAGTGTGTTTTCACAACTGGTATGGGTTAGTGACACTGTGTGGCTCCCATTCCTCCCTCTCACTTTTATAATGGGCATGTGCATTGTGGTTATCCGGTCTCCTGTTAATATTGTATTCTGGGTGTGTATAAGGCAGGTAGGCTGCCCTTTTTAATTCACAGGTCTCTGGATCAAAAGGCACCATCTCCAAGGAACCACATTCAGACACGACATATATCATAGCATCTTGTATTTGCAGCCCAGTATTGTAATTACCTGAGACTCTGGGGTATCTGCATAGAGGCAAATGTATTTTGTGTGTCCAAGACATGTGAATACTTGGGGCCAAAGATCAGTTCATAGTAAATTGACTGCATTGATGGGCCAAATAAAAATCTCCCTGTTCAACCTCATTTTCCCTTCAAGTTTCTGGTTTTCCCTTTGACCCTTGGCTGGCATTGTGTTAACACTTGAAAGTCTAAGCCTGGTGAGATCTGCACACTTTGCTTGCTCTCATTCAGGACTGGGCTGACTCGTTTTTGGAGTCCTGCCTCCACAATAAGACCAAGGCTAAATCAGTCTAATGGAAGGTGAGAGACCCACAGAGGAGGGCCGAGGGATTCCAGTCACCAACCAGTAAACCATTAAGCTGTCTTGCCTGACCAACCCAGAGCTGACCGTCAGTAAGAGATGACTTAGCCAAGACTGAAAAACCACGTAGCTGAACACATCCTAAGTTGCTGATGCACATGAAATTAAGCTTAATGGACTGTTACTATTGGAACACTCCAAACTTTGGAGTGGTTTATTTCACAGCAATAGAAACTGATTCAATTCCGTAATTGGTGGACTTAACAAAACTCACGTGGTTTTAGTCTTTTCATCTCTAGTGTGTGGATAAAATGAACCATAATTTGTAATCATGTTAATAAATTAACATTTAAAACCTATAGAACACAGTAGGAGTCCAATAAATATCTTAAGTGAATGAATAAATGGTTAGTATAACCTTTTTTTTCAAAAATTGCATTGTAAATGTTATATAGTTAGGGCAATGTGAGGTTTTTCTCAACTCTGCATTGGAGAAGAAAATGCCTGTGGGTTCTTTCTTTATGGATTATTCTGCCTCTGGAACAGGTACCTGGGAAGAACACTGACTGAAGAACAATGACATATTAGGAGTCTCGGCGGTTTGGGGAAAGCCAGAAAACATTTTCTATTGAGATACAGATAAAAGACCCTTTTCTTAGAGAAAGATGGTGGCTAAGTGCTTCATAAAAATAACAAAGCAGAATCATCAGTCTAAAGAAAAAATAGCACTGTCAGAAATTATATATTATACCTCTTAGAGGAAAGTAAGAAGTCAAAGCCATTGTCCCAACCTCACGATACACTTTTTTTCTAGGTAGTTTACATTAATGCTATAATTTGTGCCAGCTAACTCTTTTTAGAGAATCTAATTTTTTTTTTGGCATTCCAGTATTGTGATATGTCGAAGAGTACGGACTAAGCCTAAACTTTGGTCTTATTTTGGAATAAAGGAATTTACTCCTCCACCGGGTAGAGGTGGTATGTGGCATAATACAAGGTAAAAAGGACTTACATCTCTACTCATGGTCAAAAGTAAATTATGGTACAGAGGAACCAGGAATTACTGAGAACCCTATAAAATTATGTATTGTTGCTGAATAATACAGAATTACCATATTATTAATACAGTATTAATAATGGGTTGGGTGGTAGAGTTTTGGCAGAGATCCAGGATGAGGAATTAAGGCAATTGTAGTAATTAATTGGAATATAATGTCTCAGATATTACTACTATTATGAAAGTAATTTGTCTACATAATGCTGTTTTCTCATTTCTACCATGATGAGAAGGAAAATAAATGATTTCTAAGTCACTAAAATTCAAAATCTGAGTGTACCTCTCCTCCCTTCTATCCAAATCCTCTCATGCAGGGTCTGCTAAAGCCTTGGATAAAGATTTATCCAAGCTTCCTAGTGTTGAAATATGGGAGCCATGGTTAGAAACATACGGAGAGTCTGTGTGAGGGAGTTTTTCACAAGTGCTAGATGTGCCTTGAACCTGACAATTACGTTTTGCTTTTTGTTTTCAAAGATTATGCCTCAAAGTAGTGCAGCTTGTGAGCATTCCTTGAGTGTGTGTTGAAGAAACTCAATGTCTTCCGCAAGGCATAAGCAATAAACTAGAGTAGTGCATGACCTATATTTAGGAGAAGAGAATGGTATGGTGAGGAATCACTGAGAAAAACCTGACAAACGCATCATGAGGCCATTGTGAAACCACAGCGAGAGGGTATCCGAGGAGGACACTGAAATATAAATAACAGTATGAAGTGCAGAGGAAAGAAAGAAAATCTTTGAGAAAGAGAACTTTAGGAGCTGATTCATGATGTGAAGCTCTTCTCATTTGAGATGTCTAGACCTGTGGGTAACTCAGAGATGAGATGTCAATAAAATATTTGTTAAACTGAATTGAATTGAAAGACCCCCATCTTGGATTTGAAGGAGTCACAGATTATCAGAAATGGATATAAATTGGAACCTCTACTCTGAAAATGTTCTCAAGACTGATAGCATTTTTTTTTTGGCTCATCTTTATATCTCTACAGATTCAGACATTATACATGTAACACAAGTGCCATCAAGGATGTTTCATGAATGTTATGCGTTGTACTTGGCCTGGTTGGTGGTATGTATGTGTGTTTTACAGTACATATAAATATGTGTTTAGGGCTGCATGCTTCAATAGTATGACGCCAATTTCTGAATTTTTACTGATTTAATGGCTATGTCTCTCAAAATCCATGTTTCCAAATTGACCTGGCATTATGGTTCCTCACAGCATGAAGGCCTGTTGGCATAAAAGCAGTCTTTACATTACAGATGTGAGTACAAATCCCCTGAGTTAAAGTGAGTTCCAGCAGAGAAAAATGACAATAGCTGCAGATTACATATACAAATTAAAAAACTAACTGAATATTTTGAGAGGGGTCTGTGGCTTTGAAGGTAAACTTTGTATGATCAGTTAGCAATGCCCATCATAAGCCACCCAAGGGGAGGCGGTGACCAAGTGCTGCTTGTGTCCATCTATTTCTGTATGGTGATAGGCTACTGAATATCATGTGCTGTATTTTCTTCTTCACTCTTTGCATCCTCCCATGACCCCTTCTGTGCCCTTCAACTTCTAATCCCTTCCCATTTTACTCCATGTCTTCATTTTCCTTACATTCTTTTTTTCTTAATAGTCATTTCATCTCATTCTACCTAATAGTATCTGCTCAGAGCTATAGCAGAACAGATAGAATTCCATGTCAATGGAAGAGAATGCCATCCAAAGTATTTAAATATATATTCCTCCTAAATCTCAGATTTAAGAGTATCTTGGAAGACTTTGGTATCATCCTCTCAGATTTATACTCAAAGAACAGAAACAGTCCATTAGGCTAGAACCAGCTATTCCAGAATCAGTTATTTCCTCAAACCCAATACTCCCGTCCCTTTCCTTTCTGACGGTCTTGACAAAACTAAAAATTGCTCTTCTTCTTATTGTTCTGGTCCCTAATGCATATGAAATACCTTTTGTCCTTCCCCCAGCCCCACCTTCTACTCACAAACTAAGTGGAATTTTAAAGCCATCGTTCCATAAAAAGTTCAGTCAAGGTGATTAGAATAACCTGGGGTGTTAGGTTCTGTTTTTTATTAGCTATATGGCCCTGATCATTGGAAATAATAATGACATTTGTTTTATCAGCTCCACTGGGCTGCTTTAAAGTTTAGGGAAATAATGGATGTG